TCATGAGCAGGCAGCACAAGCAGCCACACAACCCAAAAGCTCACTTGTATGGCTGCTTGTGCTGCCTGCTTGGCAGCACAAGCAGCCACACAACATCCCGCTTCATCTCGCCTCCTAGTCTCGCCTCATCTCGCCTCATCTCGCCTCACCTCGCTTCATCTCGCCTCACCTCGCTTCATCTCGCCCCACCTCGCCTCATCTCGCCTCATCTCGCCTCACCTCGCCTCATCTCGCCTCATCTCGCCTCATCTCGCCTCATCTCGCCTCATCTCGCCTCACCTCGCTTCATCTCGCCTCACCTCGCTTCATCTCGCCCCACCTCGCCTCATCTCGCCTCATCTCGCCTCACCTCGCCTCATCTCGCCTCATCTCGCCTCACCTCGCCTCATCTCGCCTCATCTCGCCTCATCTCGCCTCATCGCCCCTCACCTCGCCCCATCTCGCCTCATCTCGCCCCATTTTTTTCTTTTCTAGACCACTCCGAGACCGACCCAAGACCGACCCGAGACCCGAGATCGACCCGAGATCGACCCGAGATCGACCCGAGATCGACCCGAGATCGACCCGAGATCGACCCGAGATCGACCCGAGATCGACCCGAGATCGACCCGAGATCGGCACGAGCGATCAACCCAACAATGCCCCAGAGCCCCCTCCGGGGGGACCCCCCCTCACCCCGAGTGTCCGTGTCCTTCGCGAGTCACCGATGGGGAGCGGGGGGGGGTGCGAGATGCACAGGGGAGGCTGGGGAGGGGGGGGTCCACTCTGAAGACTGCCGACCGCGGGGGGGTTTTGTCCCACAGGGTTTTACCCTCCGCGCGAGGATCGGCGCGGCGAGGGGGTAGGTTCGAATTCGCCGCGCAACATTTCACCCCCACAGGACCCCGCCCACCCCCCCTCATGGTCCCACCTAGCACCCCAATGAGCCTTCGCACCCCCTCCTTGCGCAGTGTCCCCCACTATGTGTCGCCGTTATCGGGGCATGCTATCCTGTGTAGTCAGGGCAAGTGGGGGCGGGGGGCACTCCCACCGACGTATGTATCTGTGGTGACTGTCTCCAGTCTCGGAGGGGGGCTTGAAGCTAAGAATATTTTATTTTTTACCTTCATTCATCTCCTGACGTCAGCGTGAGGACCTCTGCAAGTGAGGACCTCTGCGGCAGTGAGGACCTTTGTGACGCCCGGCTGCGCAGCCGCAACCGCGGCGAGCGAATCCCGCGAGCGGCAGTGAGCAGTTAAGTACATGAGGGAGGGGTCCCCTGCTAGTGCCATCTGCCTAGTTGCCAAACGCGTCCTTGTGTGCGCCCCTATATGAGGACCTCCGCGGGTGACGTCCTCACTTGTGCAGATGAAGGTCCTCACGCTGACGCCCCAGGGGATCCATGAAGCTAGGGATGAAGGTGCGCGGCGGGGTTGATTCGTGCCGTCAGCGGCCCAGAGACAAAAACGTATGATAAATGATGTGGCCCAGGCGGGGTGGGAGGTAGCCATCCAGGCCGCCTCATGGGCAACGATATCAAAGCCACAATGACGTCCGGATCAGATAGGATGATTAGCGTGATTGTAAGATGTAAGGTCATTTGTGGAGGTGGATGTGCTTGATCGACTGGTGCGCTGCTAGTCGCTAAATGTGCTGCTGTTTGGCGCATTGTGTCAGGGCTACTAGGGGTGGCACGCGGAGCTGGGGTATCCACCCGTCTCAGCTCGCTGCGATCGGGTATCCCATGTGTCCGGCGGGCGGGGCGCGCACCATGCTGCTTGAGGGTGACCGTCGGGCGCTCCGTTTTCTGGGCGCGGACTTCGGTTCTGAACCCAACGAGCGAACTCTCTCGCACAGCACACAGGTTCGACACAGGTACTGAACTTCGGAAAATTCTTTTAGTTGAATTCTTTTATTGAGACAGGCAACTGCGTGAATTCTTTTGTTGGTGTCACGCTGCTGCTCGCCGCCCGCGTCGCCTGACACACACACACACACACACACACACACATTATTAATGATCGAGTATTAATTATTAATTATTAATCATCGGGAGGCGGCGCGGCGCGGCGGCGGGAGGCGCGAGTCGGCGGCGCGGCGAGGCAGCGGGCGGCGCAGGGCGGGGCGGCGCGGCCGAGGGTGGGGTAATTACTTAATTATTAATTATAATGAATTAATAATCATCGGGCGGCGGCGCGGCGCGGCGGCGGGCGGCGCGGAGCGGGGCGGCGCGACCATCTGTACTGACGGGGCCTCTGCTCTTTGATGCGGCGCAATGGTCGCGCCGCCCTCGACTCAAGGGGCTGCCTTCCACCCGTAGCTGCTCAGGCCGGGGGAGGGGGGGAGGCCTCCTGTTCCCCGCGGAACACGAGAAGGCCCCTCCTTGCCCGGTCTGCGATGCAGGGCGGTGGTCGTGCCAATTATGTACATGCCCTTCTCCTTGGAGGAGTCCAAAGGCCCCGTGCCGCGATCACTGTTGCTGTGGCACACAGGCACAAACATCGGTGGGTACCAGAGCAAAAACGGATGGATGCAAGAGGTCCTCACCTGGGAGGTCCTCACTAGTCCGCGAGAGGTCCTCACCCGCACCCGGGAGGTCCTCATTGGCGTACACAAAGACGCGTTTGGCTCGACGTTTGGAGCTAAGCATGGCAGAGGCGCCCTCCCTAGATAGTTAGCCTTACTACTCTTACTCCGTTTGTGCCACCTCACTCACTCGCCGTGTCCAGTCTGTGAGACAGTGGACTGTTGATGCGGGATGTTTTGTTAAAATCGTTTCAAATTCTTTTTATTGAGGGAGTTTTGTTGTAAAATTCTTTGTATTTTAGGGCGGTCGAGTGCACGGTCCACGGAGCTAAGTGCCTCGCCGTCCTCGCCGGAGTCGCTTAGGCGGCTCCAGTGGTGTACCTGTGTTAGTGCCAGTGCGCGCCAGTCCCGTGCCCAGTGTCGTGCGAGGGAGTTTTGTTGCAAAATTCTTTTTATTGCGCGTGCGCAAATTCTTTTTATTGGTGTGCCGCTGTGGCCGCCGCCTCTATGCTCCTGCCCTGTCCGGCACCTCCGCTGCACCTTCCGCTGCTGCTCGCCGCTGGCGCCGATTCACCGCTCCTCGCTGACGCCACACCAGCAGCGGCAGCCGCGACCGCTGCAGTCGCGGCCGCTGACGGCCCGGCGCTGCAGCTGCTCGAGTTTGCGCGTGAGTTTGCGCGCGAGGGCGTGCCTTACAGCCCGTCGGTGATCGGTCCGGCGCTGAGCGAGCTGCGCGAGAGCATCAACGGCGTCCTCCTCGACGTGCGACTCCTCTCGCTCTACCTCAACGCGGGCGTGTTTGCGCTCGCGCTGATCTGCGGCCTTCTGCTCGGCGACCAGTCGCGGCCGGATCTGCCGCGCGACGAGCGCGAGGGCGACGACGGCCTCTACCGCACGATGCCGGCGGCGAGAGCGGCCACGTGGGACCGCGGCGGGCCGACCTTTCGCGGCGGCGGCAGAGGCGCGCTGTCCGAACGCAGCTCTTTGCCGCCGCCGCCGCCGGCGCAAAAGTTCGTGGACGAGCTGCGGCCGTCGCGTGGTGCCTTCACCGCCGTCTCCGCAGGTCGAGAGTTTGATCAAGGTGTGAGCCGTGAGGAACAACTGATTAAGTGGCCTTCACCGCCGTCTCTGCAGGCCTGTGGGTCGAGTTCGTTCTCTGCGTCGCTCTCGACACGCTCGGCACCGCGTCCTACTTTTACCCGCTGGGAGAGTTTGTGGGACGGCGGGGAGGCCACTTCCTAGACCCTTCCTGCACCCTTCCTAGACCCTTCCTAGGCGAGTTTGTGGACGGCGGCTTCGCCTTCGCCTACGCCTTCGCCATCGAGCTCTTCTTCGACTGGCCTGCGATGGCGCTGTTTGGCTTTTGGGAGGAGGCGCTTCCGTATACGGACGGCATCCCCAGCCCGCCACCCCCGCCTGGGCTCGCCACTACTGTGACCGTGATTGCTCTTCTCCTCGCTGTGACAATAGGCATCCCCACCGCCACCCTCGCCTGGGTCCTCACCGTGTGCGGCGTGCGGTACGCCATGCAGGGGCGCACCGCCAGGGCGGGCGTGCGCCAGGGGAAGGACCGAGGCACTTTGCTGCTCGTCGACCGGCTGGCAAAGGGGCGGGGCGAGGCGCTGCGAGAGAAGCGGCCGGCTCGCTGGTTCGACGACCAGTGGGGCTATCTTGACGACCCCGCCGCCGCCAAGGGGGCCGACACGAGCCCGATCCTGCGGGACCGCTCCGGCAACGCGCTGCCGTGACCGGCTGACCGCGCTCGGGCCGGCGGGCGTAAGGGTCGAGCTACTTGTTGGGTGAGCAGCACGATGTTCACGTCGTGACGGCTTACGTCTCTGGCGTGGTCTATGGTATCCGTCGCGCAGCGACCCCGCGACACTGGGGGGAGGCGCGCTTGTTCTTCGTTGTTCGTCTCACCGCGCGGGACACGGGACACCGTCGAGTGTCACGCCGCCACCTAGCACTTACTTTTTGAGACACTTTTCGATCAAAAGAACATGCCAGGCGCGCACACATGCGCCATGCCACCAATGTGCCGTCGCGGGAGTGAGAAAATACATGCACTGGCCACTGTCCTATCGCAGTAGAGTCTCTAGGAGAAAAGCCGTCGAAGTACGAAGACGAAAAGTGCTCCCCCCGCGCGAGCGAGTGTGCGGAGGGTCCGCAGCGGTTACAGCGTCCAAGGCGGCGACGTCGGAGTGCACCCTCGTCGAACGAGTTTGCCGCGCCTCGCCAAGGGTCCCCATGGGGGTACAGACGAGGAGGGGGGGCGCACTGGAAGTCACCTCCAGAGCTCCAGCGCCTCGCCGCCTCGTCGGGCAGAGACCGCCCATCACCAGGTCCCCTCCGAAGCGGCTCCGAGGAGCGTTTGAGAAACGTCCAGCTCGAGGCAGCGCATCACCAGATCGCGCACCTCGAACACCGCTCGGTTTGCCTCGGCGCGCGCTCGCACCGTGGGATGGCACCGACGCACTGCCTGGGACATGCAGAGATGCGGGGTGTTGGCAGGACGTTTGTGTTGGTAGTCTGCGTGGCGATCGAGGAGTGAGCCAGGGTTGGGCAAGCTCGCGCACCTCGCAGAGGTCGGCTGGCGGCGAGGAGAGGTCGTCGACCACGACGCCAGCGCCCACCTCCTCCACCCACTCGAGCACTTTCTTCTCCTGCGCCATCACGCCACGCCGCTCGCTCACGAAGGCCGCGCCGCTTGCCAGCGCCTCCGAGACGGTGCCTGGGCCCGGCTTGCCAATTACCATGTCTGTGCGGCGCATGTGGTCCCGCACCTGTGCACCGAGGAGACGCGTCACGCGCAGTGGACGGGGAAAGGGCTGTCATGCTTCTCTCGGCGTTGGACAAGTGCGGTGCCCCCCTCGAGATGCCCCCCACCGTGCGTTGGTGCAGGTGTCTGTGTGTGTGATTGAGCAATCGAGCCTGCAATGCGGGTAGCATCGGCTCCGCCACGCAGTCGCCACGCGCGCGCAGACGGTCAAGGAGGCGTGCATTGGCGCCGCAGAGCGCCACCACCTCCAGCGCGGGCCAACGCCGTTTGAGCGCATCGACGACCGCCTCGACGCGCATCGGAGGCATCGCGCCAAAGCTCACCAACGCGCGGCGCGGCTCTTGCGGCCGGCCGAGCAGGGCACCACACGCGTCCTCCTCGGGCTCGTCCCGCTCCTCCTCCTCGGGCTGCGCCAGTTCACCGTGCTGCACCATGATAGAGTCGGCCGACGGTTGCCTCGAGTGCCGCTTTGCTGCACGGTGGAAAGTCGGATGGACCACCATGCCACTCGTGCGGAGCTGAGGCGGGGCGGGGCGGGGCGAAGGGGGGGTGATTGAGAAGGGCGGTCGGGGTGCGGAGTCTAGGAAGGGAGGCCGAGGCGAAGCGCGAGCAGGAGAGGCGCAAGAGCCGAGCATGGCAGGTGGCACAACACACCACATCGGAGGGTGCATAGCCGAGCTGCTTGCACTGCTGCTGCAAGGTGGACGTGCCGGCGACGATGATATGGCGCACCGCGCCGCCGCGCCGCCGCTCGTCCACCCACGGGTGCTCCGCCTGCGTGCGTTGGCGAGGGGCGGAATGGACCGGCCGTCTTGACATTTCGGATCATGCGAGGGTGGGTGCGGGGGGTGGGGGGGGGGAGTAGCCACCGAGCTGGCAAAGTCAGTCACGACGGTGATGAGCGTCGCGTTCGGGTTTACTGTCTCCAACGCGTCCCGCATGTGCGAGTTGAAGAATGGCACGAATGAGACGATGAGGTCTGGGGGGGCTTCCGACCACAGGCGCACGAGCCCACCAACGATGCGCGAGCGGAAGAGGTAGGTGAAGACACGGACGAAGAGGCCGAGGAAGCCGGCGGTCACCATCCACCCGTGCCGCAGTAGCAGGTTGTACACCTCGTCACCGTCAAAGCCGCTCGCTCGCGGCTCCTTGAGCCCCCACACGCATGCCTCCACCGTGTATCCAATGTCAAAGGTCTCGACCACGTCCGAGTCGCTTAGCGAGCGAGGTATGTTGTAAAATTCTGCATCTGCATCCTGCACCGGGTGCAGTTCAGACACAGCTTTGCATTGGGCCTGATTCTGCATTCTGCATTCTGCATCCTGCATCCTGCATGATGTCATGTGTGGTGCCCGGGCACAAAAGGCAGAGATATGGCACGATAGTTACTCTCGAGCGCAGATTACGCACGATCACCTCCTGAGGAGCGCCAACGGCGCGACGCGGCCCGGGTTTCGCACACAGCAGCCCCCGGCAGGGCCTAGGGAACAGCGTGTGAGCTCTGGCGAACTATCATAGCCGCAGACTTGTCCATGCGAAAAAGGAGCGCAGATTAAATCCTGATGTCCGGAACGGACTTATGTGTGTTGTACTTTTATGAAAACCGTGAGCGGTGGCGAGTCTGTGGGGAGCGCGGCGCGTTTCGACGGATGGGATCTTTAATCGTGTGGCTTATCGGCTTATTCGCGGAACAAAAAAGCGGCGCTTAACCTCTCTTCGGCCCCAAAGCTGTGAACTGCACCCGATGCAGGATGCAGATGCAGAATGCAGAATGCAGAATCGGGCCCAAAGCTGTGCACTGCACCCGATGCAGGATGCAGATGCAGGATGCAGAATGCAGAAGCGGGCCCAAAGCTGTGAACTGGTACCCGATGCAGGATGCAGATGCAGAATGCAGAATGCAGAAGCGGGCCCAAAGCTGTGAACTGGTACCCGATGCAGATGCAGATGCAGAATGCAGAATGCAGAATCAGCCCCAAAGCTGTGAACTGCACCCGATGCAGGATGCAGATGCAGAATGCAGAATGCACAAGCGGGCCCAAAGCTACAGCTGTGAGAGACGTGCAGGATGCAGGATGCAGAATGCGGAATGCAAAAACTCACCCACAGCCAGGAGAGAGCGGACAACTCGCCCAATTATAGGTACGGCTCTAGGAGAGGCCAAAAAAGAGTCGTACAGAATGCACAATGGCTGTTCTTCACCTTTCTACCTACCTACTGCGCAATGCAGGTGCAGAATACAGAATCCCACCCAAGAGTGCACTGTGTGTGCAGAGTCTGTCTGTACGGCTCTACGGCTCTATGGTGCAGATGCTCTCTATACAGACTGCAAACTGCATGCAACATGTCTCCCCGTCTCTGTTCTCTGGGTTCTCTTCGAGGGTTCGCTCTTACTGACGTACGAGTTCGTCAATCTAGCGCGAGAAACCGCCATCATTTAGTTACGGCATTACGGGTGAGCCACGTATGAAAGAACCAGGCGCTCTCCAGAGCCGTATGGTACACGAAACGCCACCCCCCCACAGGAAAGGTGGCTTCGTGTGAGCTAGCTGCCGATGGTGGCTCCCCCCTGGTGCTGTCGGGGCGGCGACGTGACGGCGTCCTTGATGGCGGCTATTGGCAGTCGGGGTTGAAGTCGGCGGCCATGCCGACGGGCCGCATCGCCGGGAAGAGCAACACCTCCTTGATGGACTCGTTGTCGGTCAGCAGCATGCACAGCCGGTCGATGCCCATGCCCCACCCCGCCGTCGGCGGCAGGCCGTACTCGAGCGCCTGGTGGTGTGGAGAGGGCTCGTCGAGGAGGCGCCCGTTCACACACAGCAGTCGGCCG